GAAGAATGTAAGGTGGTGAGACCAGCCTGGGCTCACTGCCAGGGAACCATGTGGCCGGGGGCAGGGAAACAACCTGATAGGTGAATGAAGACAACCAATGGACTGCACCAGAAAGTGAAGATTGTCTTTTAAGGAAGAAAAGAGCGAGGCCTGGCATGTGAGGAGTGAGGGAGTGGTTCTGCAAATCGAAGGGTCTTAAAAAGGCTTGTCCCTCCCAGTCAGGGGTGCTTGAACCTGGTCACGAGTTCGGTGCACCCAGCGCGCTGTTAATAAAGTTCTTTGTTTCACTTTATTGGGCCATCTTCTAAATTTTAATTAGAGATATTTCTCACAGTATGAAAACACATAAAATGTAATTCAGAACCTTCTTACACAGTTGATAAAAGTTTCTAGAAAGGCTGCTTCCTATAAAGCACTAATTATTAAAACACAGATTCTAAGGTCAAATTAAAAGACTTACATGAAATCAAATGTCTTTCTCCTTGTGCTAGAGGAACCATACTCTAGGAAACCAATAAACGGGACAGACTTCACCTGTCCTCTAAAATATGTTTCACTTACTACACACACGATTCTTAGTTCCAGCAGGGCCTCCTCTATGACACCCCAATGGTTCAGATAGAAAACGTATTTCCAAGTACACCTAGTCACGCAGGTCTTTGCACCACAAATTGCCTGAGCCAATACATAGTAAAGCTGGTTGGGAACTTGACAATTATCTAAACAAACAGTGGCAAACTTTTGCAAAAGCGTGATTAGAAGTTAATTTCAATTCTTTTGAACTGTCCTGCTTCAGCCAGCACTGAAATGATAGTGGGGAGAGGAAGCAGTCGTTAAAACAGTTAGGCCAGAATTTCCGTCTAAGAGGGCTGGTCCCACCCAGTGCTGAGCACCTTCTGAATTAATTTCTCCTCTTACTGATACTCAGCTGGTTTCGATAAAAAAACCACTCTTACTACAGTTCTGGAAACTCCAACTGCTCTCAGATCTGTCTTGAATACTAATACAAAAACTCAATTCTGGTGTCACATGACACCTGTGCTGATGCTGAGAGATGCTTTGGATGTTGTTAGCATGAAACAGCGCAAAGTGTTAGCTAAGTGAAAATGAGATATGAGTGGGCAATCTCATGTTAGCAAGATAGATCAATGTTAGGCTGCAAAGAATGATTTAGAGAAAACAGAAAAGGGAGCAAAAGAGTAAATGTAATGGTCTGCTCCACATTCTAGTTTGTGCCATATTTGAACCTGCATTGGCATCAGTACATTATGCTGCTGACATGCACATTGGAGGATGCTGTGAGCAAAATAAATTGAGATCTCCTCCAAGACAAAAGCACTTCAAAAGCCATGGATAGTTGGGTAAAGCAAAATACAACATGGAAACAATCAGTGAGAAGTGGGGTAGGACCCAGTAGCAACTGCACGCTCAGAGAGAGCAAGTACTCGTGACACAAGCAAGCGAGGGCTGCTGACTTGGAACATGGACAAGGGCTGTTTGGGTCTGAATGCTACCAATTCCAAATCCAGAAGTCTCTTGAATCAAAGCAGGAGATCTCTTGCCTGTGACACGTGTGCCAAGATGAAGCAGAGCTCCTAATGAACTCCACTGGAGGGACAGTTGGACAAAAGTTCCTGTGAGTGGGTATATGTCTTCTTTTGCATTTGTTATTTGCATGTTGAACTTACCCTGCAGTGACACACTGTTTCTGGTCTGTGTGGATCTGGACATTTTATGAAGTTCCAACACCTGGCCTTTCTTTTGGAGGCCAGCTGAAAATTTTGTGAGGAATCGGTTACAGATTCTGTGTTTCCTGGTCCTTGCTTAATACTTGCACGCGTCCTGCTTTGTGCATCTGTGCTATTTGCAAGCACTCACTTCCACCCAATCTCCCCTCTGTGTAAGTGGGAAAGAAAATCAGGCTTTCAGCATTTATTTCTAACTCTTCCCCAGCTGCATTTCTCTATATCCCCAAGGTAAATCCTGCACAGGAGCAATAGAGACCGACCTGTTCTTCAACAATTACTGCTAGCTCTAGGGGTGCTCTCTCTCTCCCCAAAGACTTGAAAGCATTCAGGCCATGAGTTAGTTTTAGGGCAATTCCACCGGAGAAAGAGAAGTAGACTTGGAAAACTTAAGGTTAAATTTCACTAGCTAATACTTTATTAGGTTTTCCATGGTTCTAATCTGTTTTGTATGAGATGTGTAATCTACCCACAGAGAAGCTGCTTCATTTGCTTCAGCAATCATTATTTAGGTACCTGTGTTGAAGTAGGTAACATTTAAAGAAGACTTTAAAATGGTCTGTGAAACATACACATAGAAACCAGACAGGTCCTGAAAGGTCCTGCTGAAAGCTTTGTTAGTTTTTCTAGGAGACAGTATTTAGGATAAGAGAAGTTAGTGTAAAACCAGAAACAAGCATGTAACAGGTTACGTTTAAAAAACAGAAGACATGAAGTTTCTGTAAGATGAGCAATGACATCAGTTAAGCTAGAGAGACACACATTTTGCAATCTGTGATGTTTGAAAACTAGGCAACAGCCACAATTGAGCATCCTATACCCTGGTAAGCTGTTTACCAGGCCAAGATGCAATTTTCCAATAGCTTCAAGCTAGTACTTAAAACTGCTTCTCATGTTATGATACAGGAGCAGTGCCAATAGCATGGTTGCAAAAAAAAAATGTCAAGGATACACTCAAACTGAAGTGAGGCGATTTTCATCAATGAAGTCCTCTGCCTGTCATTGTCTCATTCTTGTCAAACCAGATACATTCTGAGTTTGAGAATGACCATGGTTCTCTGCTAGAATGTTTACTTGGTTTTAGTAAAGCAGTACATTGAATTTGTATCTTCTTGCTATCACACCTGCAGTTCTTCCTACAATACCTTTCTTAAGACTGTTTAGAAAGACAATTAAACCCACTTTTATTTGGCCCTATCTTTATATAATTAAACACTTACCTATGCTTTTCTTGCCAATTACTATCTCTGTTGTATAGTCTGCTGGATAAATAACTCCCAACACATTTCAGAGTATAAAATGTATGCTGAACTTTGCAAAAAAACCCTAAACACTACCACTGTTTTACTGACTTTACATACAAATTCTGCATGAGACACCTTCAGGTATCATGCCTATGTTGACAGAGCAAGTATCATAGAAGATGCTGGAAGGCATCTTCAAAGACCATATAGCCCAGTCCTTCTGCCACAGGCAGGCACACCTTCCACTAGACCAGGTTGATCAAAGCTCTGTCCCACCTGACTCTGAACACTTGCAAAGGTATTTACAACTTCTCTGAGCAGCCTGTTCCAGAGTCTCACCACCTCCATTGTGAAAAAATCATTACATCCAATATAAATATATCCCCCTTCAGCTTAAAACTGTTGCCCCTCGTCCTGTCATATGATGTGGTGAAATATCTCCCTCCATCTTTCTTATAAGCTCCCTTTAAGTTCTGAAAGGCCACTGTAAGGTCTCCCCAGAGCCTTCTCCTCTCCAGGCTGAACAACCCCAACACTCTCAGCCTGTCCTCATAAGAGAGGTGCTCTAGTCCTCTGATTATCTTAGTGGCCCTCACTGGACTTGCTTCAACAGCTTTCTTACAGTGAGGACAGCAGAACTGTTTGCAGCACTCCAGGTGGGAGTGCTCACCAGAGGGGAGCAGAGGGGCAGAATCACCTCCCTTGACCTGCTGGCCACACTGCTTCTGATGCAGCCCAGGATGCAGTTGGACTTCCGGGCTGTGAAAGCACATTACTGGCCCATGTTCAATTTTTTCATCCACCAGCACCCTCAAGTCCATCTCCACAGGGCTGGTCTCAATCCCCTTTGCCCCATCTCAAATGCAGCACCTTCCACTTGGCCTTGTTGACCTTCATGAAACTTGCACTGGGGCCCACTCCTCAAGCCCGTCAAAGTCCCTCTGGATGGCATCCTTTCCCTCTGGTGAATCAAGTGCACCACTCAGCTTGGTGTCTTCCACACACTCAATCCCACTATCTTATTTCACTGATGAACATACTACACAGTATTGGTCCCACACCTTTGAGGGACATCACTCATTACTGGTTTCCACTTGGACATGGAGCTATTGACTGAAACTCTTTGGACACAGTCATCCTTACCTAGTGTTGTTATCTAGCCTTGCATAGGAAGAATTTATAACAGAAATGTGTAACAAAACTCACTACCTATGGACCTGCTCTGTGCCACTGTCCAGTGACAGTAAGTACCCAATATATAAAACAAAAAAAATCAACACAACAATTATCTTTATATGTCACTACCAAATGTAAAAAGAGAAACCCAAGGGGGACTGAAAATGGACACCCACAAACAACTTTCTCTTGGAACAACCAAATATGAACTTCCTGGCTCCAATGTATTTCACTGCAAGTGCCCAGGGGACAAAGATAAAAATGGAAATAATTTCTAAGGCCAGACATCCAATTTGGTTTAGTGAAAGGCAGCAAAATGTATGTTCAAGCTCTGCCTCCTGCAACGCGAGTTCTTAAAAACACCAGGAAATACAGAAAATTGGTTAAACCACTGTCGCCAGCATCTGAAAAGCACTTGTACTGGTTTTGCTAGGCAAAGTATGTCCAAATCTAAAGGCTTTCACAGCAGGAGTCTGGGCATCTAACAGAACAAGACTATCAAGGTAAAATGCTTATATACCTTCTTTCTTCTGTTTTCCTTTGGATTAGTTTTTTTTTTACATTACCGTGAGAATCCTTACCTTTCACGTTTCTGGTATCTTCCTTGCTTGCCTTGCATTCTAATCCACTTGTCTCATCAATCCCTGTTGTTCAGGAATTTAGAACCTAAAGTTCTGAGCAACACAGTGTTTCTAAAAAGTGGTCTTTCTAAAAGCAGTGCTTATAAGGTATCACCACCAACCTGTCCCATGAATGGCAAAAGTCACTGTGAGATAAACAAAATTCATGCACTAATGACTAGAAGTAAATAAAAAACCCCCAATTTGCACACAGCTTGGAGAAGCATTTAATTTATTTACTAGACAAGAAGCAGCAGGTTATTTTATTAAAGTAAAATTATATTTCAAAAAATTGAAATGCATACATTCAAAGCACTGGAGCACATTAATCACTTAATACAGAAACTAAATTTGGAGTTGTTCAGTGAAGCAGAAAATGGCCAGCATAGTGGGACACTGGCACCAAAGTACTTCTAGGTACACTTCTGTAAGTCACATAAGTACATCTTTAGGCACAAATCTGGCTTAGGTATTACCTCAATTTTTTCAACGAGAACATTAATTAATTACACAACTGCTGCTGTGACAGAACCACCACAATTATTAAATCATGTCTTCTAGCACACAAATAAATACACTGCTTTAAAAAGAAATAAACAGAATTAAAAATAAGGATAATGTATAAAAATAGCATAATTTTTATTTGATATGGTTTGCTCAGTTTTTCTGCTATGTTTCAGAAGTGAATTATAATCACTTGCCGTATTTAAGGAAAAGATGGAGGTAGAAACAGCAACACAAACAGCCTATCTGTGAATCTGCTTTATTTTCTTACCTTATTTTATGAAACTGCAACAAGAGTATTACCTAGACTTTAATTTCTACCATCAATTAAAAGGTACTACTGAATAGAGCATACTGACTTTTTTCTTCAACCACCGTCCGATCCAGCTTGACAGTAAAGCTATTTCTAGTTGAAAACATACTCAATAGCTAATTTTAGCCATCTTATACATTATCAAACTGATAAAGATTTTAACAGCGGCCTTACATATTATCACTGGTTAACATTTAGTCCATTCTTTTATGCCTGTAACAATTTTTGGAGATAATATAACCTCTGGAAGTTCACAAGTGATCCACTCTTCCTTGTAAGCACTCCAAGATTCATCCAGGTTGTTACTGCTTTGGCAGGATGACCGAACACTGCACTGTTGTCTGAAATACAAAGTCACAGTAGATGAATGCTGCTTCTGCCAGTGCAGGGGGAATTACTTTTCAATGTAAAGGTAGACTACATAGCTTCCATTTGGATTACAAATAGGTGTAACCCCTTACCTGTGCATAGTTATCTCCAACTTCTTCCAAACCACAGAATTTAAAAGAATTACAAGATGGGCACACCCACACATGGAGCTGTCACTAGAACTTTTGAAAACCTATGTGACACGCTGATTGGTATTGAGAAAAACAACCATATTGCAGAAACACTAAATTATGGACTTTGGGCTCACACGATACAAATGAAAAACTGTGCAGCTTGCTTTTCTTGACTTCTATACGATTTTTCATCAGTTTGGAAGTACAGCTATTCAGAAAATAAACCTTTCTCTAAAGGTGCACTCACTGGGAGTGAATGCAATCAATACTCAGGTTATGTAGGGAGAGGCAACTTTGTCATTAGCCACATTCAAGGGCAGGACCTGAGAAACACTTCAATCTCAGCTTTTGTGAGAGGTCCTTAGCCTGTAAGTACCACTGCATGTGCAGACCAGTGCAACTACAGTTGAAGTGAAGCCTCGATGAATTTTTCCCCTCTGCCTTATTCACCTGAGCCAGTTTACTCTGGTCACATAAGTACATTCACTGATTTCACTGAGATATTTTTTGGGGAAGAAAATTATTCAAAAATATTTACAAGATTAGAGTTCTACATGACTACCTTAGGAATGTCAGTTTTAGTTTGTGATAGAGCAGAAAAAATGACTGAAAAATATTAAGCTTTATGCCCTTCAACCTACCAAACATAAATGCCCAAGTGTGTCAATGATGAAGTATGTCGAAACACATACATACGGTATCTACAGATACCTTACCTAATCTAAACTATTCCACAGTATTGACTTACCACAACTCTCAAAATACAGCATTATTCTTTGTATCAAAGGTCTGCCAAATACCATTTCAAAAAGGCTAGTACAGAAGTTCAAAAAAAGGCAGGTAGCATCAGCAGGTTTCCTCACAGAGACAAGAAATTTACCTGAGGAGCACTCACAAAAGCTCTGACACCTTACCACAAGCAGATTTGCTTGCAGCCACACTGTAAGAAAAATCAGTTTCCACAGGACATCCCTTTTATCATTTTAGTTCAGATTCTCTCCTGATCCTTATGGTGTTGAACCTTATTGTAAGAAAGGTACAGAGCTCAATTCCCAGTTATTATTAGCTAAAATTCAACAGGACGATTTTTTCCTCTCTAACCAATACTTTTCCTAGCAAAGATAAAAAGGAGTCTATTATATCAGTTCCCATTTGAAATTGTCTGCTGTCACCAATTCATTTACTGCCTTCAGCAATGAGACCATGTTTTACATGATAAGCTTGTGGTATCAGTGCAGTGGCTTAAGTTCTCGTTGCCTTTGGCATCTCTTCCGAGTGTCATCCACAGACAAGCTTTGGTTTTACTGAAAGAATTCCTAACATGCCTGCTCTTGCTTTTCGATTCCTTCTTTGTAGCTTGTCCTTGCTTCCAACCCTTGAACGTCATGTTTTCACACAGAGCTCTGTTTCCTGTTCAGTCAACTCAGTTTCCTGATTGGTCTTTCTTTGGATCAGTCCTGTACTTGGAGAATGCTGCCCTTAAGGACCTGCCTGATTTCTGGAGCTCCTTGTCTCTTCAGAGCTGCCTTCCATGAGACAATACTGCACTCCAGCACCTGTACTCTGCTAACTGCCTTTCTCGCAGTTAGGATGCAAGAATCCCATAGGATGTCAAACACCACTATTTCATGAGCATTACAGCAACAAGGACTCCCTGAAGCAACAACTCAGCCTCGGGCATATTGATCACCATAACTGGTCTACTCTGGCCTCCAATCGGGAGGCCTGGAGACACACCATCTATAACGCTGCTGATGCTTTTGAGAAAGCACGCAGGATCACCCTTGAGGAGAAAAGACAACGCAGAAAGAATCGAGCCTTGCAGCATATACCATCTAAGGAGTCTTTCTGCTGTGTCTTTTGCAACCGGACTTGCCTTTCTCGTATTGGCCTTTTTAGCCACCAACGCGCTTGCAAGAAAAGTGGGTAGAGCCCTTCCCAAATCTTCGTTCGCGAAGCCTGGCCATGATGATGATGACAGCAACAACTGCCAGTAATTACCACCTCACTACACAGCTCTTCTCTGTGAGCAGCATATCAAGCTGTATATCACCCATGACTGACCCATCCGATCCAGAAATTTCCCTGATACCAGCTAGAAATCACTTGGACCACTGTGATCACCAGCATGATCTGTGTTTCTTCATCCATGACGTAAATATCATGTGGTAGTACCCTGTCCTGAAAGAGTAAGGGCTTTAACCCAAGACTGGAGAATGACCTCTTTACAACAAGAGTCAGGAAATATTGGTCTAAAGACATCTTAAGCAGTCAGAAAATTAGTAACTTTCAAATTATGACTAAACTCACCGGCATATCACAGATGAAAAGACACATGAAAATGAAAGGGACCTTTAGCAGAAAAACAGCTCTTGGAGATTTTGCTTTAACACTGCAGTCTTTCCTAAAGACTACTGTGAGATTCAGAGGTCACACCAATGCACGTGTGTACAGGTGGGATGCATAACTCCACGTAAGGAGAGAGAGAAATGCAGGTGGGCAAAGAGACTGGTAGCATAATTTCTCCTGCCTGGTAAAGTTCCTTCAGTCACAGCAGCCAGATTACAGAGTTTGGGAAGGAAAAGCTCTTGTGTCCATGTAGAGCTTTATCATTTTACATGCTTCCCCAACACTAGAAACAGACATTGGCAAATGCCCACTTGAGATACCCAGATGCATCTTGGATATAGGCTGTCAGTGACAGCAGTGTACCAGCTGCAGTCTTATTCAGCTTGCCCCTTGTCTGTGTTCCTTAACACATTACTACAGGGCATGCAAGATGTGCTGCCTTCAAGCTCTAGGAAAAGGTACCTCTGGAACAGATCAGTTAAAAAAACCTCACCATGTGACCTTCAAAACTCCCAGTGTAAAATATGCAGAAGTACACTACAAGAAAATAGTTTTTTAAACTCTTTATGGTTCACCTACACATTTGTACAGAAGCACATACTTATATTTCTCTCTTTGCTGCATTGCAAAATTGCCTCTCTAATTCATTAACCCAGAAGCCTAGGATCAATCCTTCATCTACTTTACTATCATTTCATTCCCCCAAAACGACGATTTTTAGCCTTTCCTGATTTTCCTATGTAAAATCAGAATAAGCCTCCAAAGCCTTTGGAGCTTTAGAATTTTGTCACTTTTCCAGACTACCTGGTTGTGTTAAATCATAAACAGTTGTGACTCCTACTCTCTTGACATAAAATTTCAATCCCCACTGCCAATACCTACTTTCTGTTTCCAGTTCCTCAAATGCCTTCAGATCAACTCCCTTTCTCAGTATACTATCACTCAAACCAAGCCACTATCTGCAAAGAGCAAAAAACCCATAAGAATTGTCAATCTCAAGTGAAACTACCCCATTATTCATCATTGATAATGAGGCAGCACTAGATGTTTAAGAGAAAAAGGGTTTAAGAAGCTACATTAGGATGGAGTGACCCTTCCTCTGGGGCTTCATATTTTCTTCCCTCGGCAAATAGTACTTCAGGGACTGAGTTGGAAGAAACACTTTACAATGAACTGAAAGAAGGGTTGGTGTTCATTAAAGGGGAATCCCACACACGTAGTGACAGCTCTCTTTCACTTCTGATGAAGATTCAAGACAATAATGCAAAAGGAATGCAAGAGGACACTGCTCACTGAAGTACATCTGTCAGAAATGGAGGCAGATCCCTCAGTACTTTCACAGCATTATATAATTGGGAACCATTTCCTTGCATGTCAGTATGAAAAAGTAGCTAAGGAATACCTAGCATATGTTTTAGACTATTTGTTCAAACTCTGAGTTTTGCTGTATAGCCAGGCATCTGTATCAAAAAGAGCAGCCCCATCCTCTGAAAATGTTGTTTTCTGTGGATTAGAGAGGAGAAGGAATACTGATTCTGTTGCTTCCCTTATCCATCCATGACACAACTTTCTAAAGAATGCAGAGGGGAAAGGGAAAAGTCAGTCACCTCTCCCAAATATATAGAGGGGACATTAAAATAACTGGTTCAGATAACCAGGAAGAAGAAGAGTCATAATTCAGACACTCCCAATAAAAAGTAGGTTTTTCAGTGAAGAATCAACAAGACTAATTTCAAGGATTTGGGCTAGACTTCCACGAACCTGACCTGGTCATGTATGCTTAAAAGTGTCTGAGGTGAATTTTGCTTCATATATCTTTCCCTTAGGACACTGACTAAACTAGAGATGAGAATCAGTGACAAGAGAACCACACTGTAAACAAACCCCAAAATTTGATTCCTATTAGAAATCATGGAAGATTTTTATAGCACGTGCAGTTCTGCTCACTGTTGAATTTCAGGGACACACTTTCGGTAATGTGAAGACATGACTTATGCCTGTGTTCATCTTTCTTACCCATTCAAATTACAGTCAACACAGTGATTTTTGGAAAAGAGGAAGAAAGAACCTAACAGAGGGAAGCGTTATCAGACTGGATTCTCTCAGAAGTTTCCTCAATAGGCAGTTTCCTCCTTTTCAGACAGCTGCTGCTTCCACCAAGAGAGATTCTTGTGGCCCACTTCTGTCTGCTCTCTTTCACACTCCAATTATCTTTCCCTACCTCCCACACCACCTCAATATAATTCTCAGTTACGTTCACACTACAAGCTCTTGTACTCTTGGGAGTAGCTATTTATCAAAAAACGCTTGTTGAGAAGTTGGGTAGACATCCAAACCATTTAAACATTGTTTTTTCCCTCTTGCTACAGCCACAAATGAATCTCAAGCATGCTTGTGAAACAGAGGAAATACAGAACATGTAAGTAAACCTTGTCTAAGGAAAAATCTGCCTAAAAATTCCCTTGGCAATATGTTTTGAAATGTTTTTCTTTGTCGTTTTTTTTTCATGCACTGTGGATTTGAAACCTGTGGGAGAACACACTTCCAATAATTTCAAACCCATATCTTGTAACAGACTCTTCTTCTTCTACATATTAAAGTCAGCACAATGCTTTTGGTTTGGTTCAGTCTTTTCCATTTGACTCTCCATTGTGCTAAGACCAGGTTTTTCATTCGGATACTCACATATATTTGTATCTTACTTGTGCTATGAAGGATAACACTTCATCAACCATATATAGCTAACCATTTTTTTAACCTTTCATAAAACTTCTTGTAAAACTGAAGCTAGATCTTTGCAATAAAGCTTGCAAGAATCTGGTAGAATGTTTGCCCATCTTGGATGGATTTGGTTTCTTGAAGCATCTACTCTGAAACATTGTGATTTAAACAGAAACACTCTGTACCATACACCTGTGTTATGTACTTATACACATACACTGTTTCTTGTACTCATCAGCCTCATGAGTGTACTTACTTTCAGGGTGTGCAGGGTGTTGGTCCATTCCATCGAACCTATCTGAGGTATAGCAGTAAGGAGTATGCTAGTAGCTTTATTTGCATTTCCTTTCAGCGTCTTTAAAACTTTATCCACTGAAACCTAGAAATACAATAAAACTGAATGATGTCTCTCAATTTTGATGGCACACGTTTTTAACAACCAAATAAATTTAACTCATAAGTATAAAGGTGAAGCCTTACAATGTCTTTTTAGACAGTAAGAACACCTTTCCTCTCTGTGTGTATGGTGTATATTTGTGTATTGAACACAAACAGGAGAACTAAGGCATATGTGCTGTTTTGCACAGAGCTGCAAAAGAAAAAACACGAGACCAAATACAAGAAGACAGAGCTCATGAGCTTCATACTCAAAGACCATCTGATTCAGACAAGAGGAAACAAAATGTTTGCTAATATTGAGGCAAGTTTGTGAAAACGAAAGAGAGCAACAACTGACTCGGTTCCTACTTTCACAATCATACATCATGAATACCTCAGGGATACTGATGTAGGCAAGAACAGATTTAGTTCAATATGTCATCTCTTACCAAAACCACATTCTCATTCAAATCCCTGATGACAAGACCAGAGGAAAGAAGTTTCACTCACTGCTTCTTCATGTTCCTTCCAGCAGTCATAATCTGTTGCCATGGCAATACTAGCATAACTCATTCCAGCTTCCTTCGCAAGAATCACTTCAGGCACTGTGGTCATGTTGATAACATCAGCTCCCCAGCTGCGAAACATACAGCTTTCTGCTCGAGAACTGAAACGTGGGCCTTCAATTGTGACCACTGTCCCCTTGGAATGACACTGGAGCCCCAGCTTCTTGGCAGTCTCAATAAGAACCTGCAAAACATGCCAACATTAGGAAAAGGAAATAATTCCCCTCCCGCAGTGCTTTTGCATCCCACCAAAAAGCTTATATACAAAAGAAGTTAGCTTTACGCAAAGCAGTCAAACTTCATACGGCTACAGCTGTCCAAAACCAAGGATCAGTTTAGTTTTCCCCACCCAACAAGAGAAATTAAGAGTCCTACCAACAGGAACAAACTTGAACTCATTTGATTTTGTTGGTATCAGCTGGATTATTGCTTTCAGTGCAGATTAAGAAGACTGGAAAACAGGATTTTTTTGCATATTTAGACTGTGCTTACACTGCAAACAGAATGGTGGAAGTGGTCCACTGAGCACTACATTATCACGTGGCAGAGTTGAGCTAGTGAGAACAGTAATAGGAAATTTATGTTTTGAAGAGTTGTGGTCAATGGGCCACTGTGCACATGGAGACCAGTGATGAGTTGTGTCCCTCAGGGGTCGGTACTGGAGCCAATACAGTTCAACATCTTTGTCAGTGACACAGACAGTGGGATCGAGGGCATCCTCAGCAAGTTCACTGACACACCAAGCTGTGTGGTGCAGTTGACAAGGTGGAGGGAAGGGATGCCATCCAGAGGGTCTTTGACACACTCAAGAGGTGGGCAGATGCAAACCTGAAATTCAACAAGACTGAGTGCAAGGTGCTGCACCTGTGTTCGGGCAGTCCCAGATACAGCTACAGGCTGGACAGAGAAGTGACTGAGAGCAGCCCTGTGAGAAGGACTTGGGGGTGATGGCTGATGAAAAACTCAATGCGACTCAGCGATGTGCACTGGCAGCCCAGAAAGTCAGCGGAATCCTGGGCTGCATCAAAAGGAGCATGGCCAGCAGGTCGAGGGAGACGATTCTACCCCTCTACTCAGCTCTTGTGAGACCCCACCTGGAGTACTGCAAACAGTTCTGGGTGTCCCCAAAACAAGAAAGACATGGAACTGTTGGAGCAAGTCCAGAGAAGTGCCACTAAGTTGATAAGAGGACTGGAGCACCTCCCCTATGAAGACAGGCTGAGCAAGTTGAGGCTGTTCAGTCTGGAGAAGAGAAGGTTGCATGGAGACCTCACAGCAACCTTCCAGTATCTGAAGGGGCCTACAGGGAAGCCAGAGAGGGACCCTTTGTCAGGAACTGTAGTGATAGGACAAGGAGTAATGGGTACAAATTGAAAGAGCGGAAATTTAGGTTACATATTAAGAAGAAACTTTTTACTATGAGGGTGGCAAGAGACTGAACAGGTTACCCAGGGAGGTTGTGGATGTCCCAACCCTGGCAGTGTTCAAAGCCAGGCTGAAAAAGGCCTTGAGCAACCTGGTCTAGTGGGAGACATCGCTGTCCATGGGAGGGGAGATGGAACTAGATGATGTTTAAGGTGCATTCCAACCTCTTAACATTCTGTGATTAATTCTGTGCTGTAAGTTAATCTAATATTAATCACACCTAATATTTTGGTTTGTTGCTGATGTTAATTCTGAATCTATGTTTAACTGAATGTCAATTATTACACATTGTTAATAAATCAATAGACAACTTGAATTGTGACTTGACTTAAACCACAGTTGAGGAGTACTTTCCCAAAATACTTTATAAAGTTCCAATTTTACTGCCTATAAGATGTTGCATTGAGCCTCAGTTTCTGAAAGCACTAATAACCAAGGCACTCCGTGGTATTCAAAACTTCACAGTTGGAGGAAAAGATAAACTCAGTTCAGATGCTTATTTAATTTACAGTGCATAAACCAACTAAACCAGAGTATTTTAATGTATTTGCAAAAATGCAACATAATATAAAGTTTTCAGATGTTTTGATGTAAAATTCCTTAAATAGACTGTTACATTCACAGTTTGGACTTTATTATTATTGCATTTATTCATGAAATTCCCCTGCATTGGGCCGAAATTATTCCAACTATTTTCAGGGATAGTTTCATGGAAAAAGTTTAAGTCACTTTCGTCTGGTATTTCAAATAAAGTAAAAATATTCCTTCTCAGCCTCACAAAGAGTCCAAAACCACGTCCTTTAAAACATCTGTTAGACTGATTAGAATGCAGATGACATTATGCTAATGAGATTATGATCACATGTGAGACTGGGAAGTACCTAAATGTTTTTTCTCTGTTTGAAAAGGTGCATTTCTCTGCTGGCTTTTCAAAAACTGTATTACCTTGTCTACAGACAATAACATTGTCTCTAGCTAGTTAACAGCTGAAAGAAAACTAGTTTAGGTGTATGTCTCCTCCAAGCCCAGAAAATGCCTTATGCATGAGTACTTTTTTTTTAAAGTGAGAGTCAGTGTGAAGTGCTGCCAATCACTTCAGAAATAACAGTTTTCAATCAATTTCTTAATAAACTCCTTGTATCTGTTGTGACATGACACTATGCTCACAGTTAGAAAGCAACTCTATGCCAACTAACTTTTGGTAAGAGCATTGACTAGATTCCTTTTTGCAAGAAAAATGCAAAGTGTATAATTTGCAGCTCAATAGAACAAGGTCAAACGCATGCATATGTTTAATATGCAGTGGTTTGTTTCCTCATGAGACTTGAAATATCTTTAGTTCATTGTAAAACATCTCAATTCCCAGTGTGGACTTGCTGATGGTTATCTTTAAACCACAGTGTGGCCAATTAACAAAAATAGCCCACAAGGACACTGAAGTGAATTGGTGTCAAAAGCAGAATAGATCAGTAGTACAGACGTTTGTATGTTCTCTGGGTATAGATTGTGCCACCTGCTTCACAACTGAGCTTTGTCTTGCTTGCAGAGAGCAAGTCTGTTAGATCGATATGACTGCTTTTGTAAGTATTTCTGTTCCCCTGAAGAACATACCTCCTTGCAGCTTCTGATCAGAGCATTCAACAATAGCACAAAATATGAAATTTAACCTTCACCTTCCTTTTTCCTCAACTCTAAGAATACACTAAGACGACATATTTAATTACAGATACAGCCCTCCCAGAAGCTTATAAAGGTATTGGAAAACAGAGAAATGTTTCACACTCCCAAGTCTAAGTGGTTATGAACCCTGAAAATCCTGAAGTGACAAAACTGAAAGCAAAAGTTAAGAATAAAAGGTTACTGCAATTTGGCATGTTTTCACATTTAACATCCGAAGCCTTCACTCTCCACCATCACCCAGCTCTACAATGCACAGACCTACAAATGCTATACTGTAATTTCTGTGAATGCTAAAGTACTATTTATTTAAATATTTGTATTAAGTATGTGGAGTGCCTCTACCATAGGTGCAGCTTTATTCAGAACAAAATGGAACCAATTCCTAATCCTAACTGCTTTGTTTACTTCATTGCTCTCTTGGCCGGTTACCTGATAAATAAAGATCTTTTGTCCATTTATTAAGACTCTAGGGAAATCTAGGTTGCCAACTGACATCTTCTGCATACTTCCCTTAGAAAGACAGACACAAGATCTTTTACTTCCCATGCCTTCAAAATGTTACATTTGTCCTTAATATCATGACATATCGGAGAAACAGGACAAAGAGGTGCATATTGTGACTATATTCTAAGAACACACAATTAGACTAATATATCACAAAAAAGTGCCATAAAAATAACATTTCTAAACACTATTACAAAATTCACTAACCTCTCTGGTTTTGGTGCAGAATGGCTCTGCCATTGGAATATGACATACTCCTGGAAGACTGGAATGTTGCCCATCATATAAAGTACAATGTCTTTTAGTTGTCCTAGAAAAGCAGTAACATGCTTAGAGAGAAGAACGGAAATAAAACAAAAGAGAAAGCAAGAAATTTCTACAAATCAAAAATCAAAGCATCCCTGGGAGGTGGGTGGAAAAATCAGTATGATCTTAATGACCACCTGTAATCCTGTTTTGTCTCTGTTCAAACCCTTCAGAATTGAGCTCAAGACTATAAAGTGTTACTCCAGGAGCGCATTATCAAATAATTAGAGAAAATCTTTTATTAACAAGATGCTGAAATGCTTATTTGTTCCTCAGTATTTTCACAATGTTCCTCAGCTATGTCCACCACATTATGTTGCAATTCTACCCAAAAACAATCAGCTAATTTAATAGTCAGGCATGTAACCTCCAAAAAAAAGAGCACAGTAAGCTTTCAAGAAGGCAAGGAATAAAGTCTGAATTACCACAAGGCTAGTCAAAATAGAACTTGTTCATATCATTGCATTCCTACAATGAAAGGATGGGAATTTATAGGAACAGCTTCCTGCACAAAAGAGGTGTGAATTCAAGTAGAAAAATTTGGCAACAGGTTGTCTTCTTGTTCTCAGAAAGATCATGCCCACCCAGCACTGGCAGCTCCCTGGTAGGAGAATCCTTTTTCTCTTTTCTTTCAACTGAGAAATTGTTTCCATGCATGCAAATGGCCAAACATGCTGCAGAAATTACCATCCAGCAGGTCATTTTGGAACACACGGAACTGTTGCCCAATATCACTTTACCTTCAAATGCACCACCTCAAGCTAACTCACCCAATTGGATGGCACAAACCCTCAGGAACAAAACTCTTTGAGACATTCCCTTCTTCCTTGCAGGGTGTTACATATTGTACTTTACAGGAGAAAATTAAGACAACAGCCAAATTCAACCCACAGTTAAAATACAAAACATCTACTGCTAATACTGTTTACAACAGCCCCCCTATACAAGTTAGCAAATATTTTTTAAAAAAGGTTTAAAACACAAGTTATATGTTGAAGTAGGTTTGGGAAAAAAAACCAAACAAAACAATAGGGCAGCCTTAAAAATGAGATTATAAAATAGCAAAGAGATCAACAAATTAAAAACATATGTAAAATGGGATACACTGTTAAAATCAGTGGAAACACTGATATTATTTTTTTCCTTACAGGATACTGAAAAGGTGCAAATAGAATGTATCTGATTTTTCACACTTTTCTTACTCACCTGTCAATGAACTGGTCAATTATGACAAGATCACCAGGTTGTATTTCCTCTCGTAAGGAACCACAGGCAGTAGTCACTAATACGTGGGAACAATTTTCTTCTTTCAACGCCCAGATATTGGCACGGTAGTTGACGTTCGATGGCATAACTGTATGATGCCTTCCATGTCTGCAAAGGTACATGTTGCAAGAGAGTAAAATAAATCAGACCGAAATTGCCTTCCTTCTCCCAGATAAAGAGAATTCTGAGAAACATATTTTCCCTAACAATACTGGAAGTGGAACTGATCATTTCAGCTACTTCCAGTGTACCTTGTTTTCCTAAACATACTAAGGTCCTCTCAGCATTCAATTTAGAAACAGTGGTGTAATTTTCTTTTTAAATGCAAAAATTTTTCAGTTCAAGACTGTAATGAAAAGAATCTTAAAAATACAATCCAAATATACTTCAGCAGATTCAAGAGTAAAATAAGCATTTTCCTCTGAATTTTCTAAGTCAGCTCCATAGATTCCAAAACTCTTTCCACACACTACAAGAAATTTCTAAGATTTATATACACCTCTAGGAATTTTCCTCCCAGAAGTGCTGCTTGTATTCCCCCACACAGAAAAGAGTAGCCCATCACAGAACACTGTGTTCTAACCTGTCATCTTTCCAAAGAAAACAGTAGAATCATCACATTTTTCTCTTTGCTTTTGAAGTTATCTGACAGCTTTCATAAATTAAAAGAATGACTTCACACTGCTGCAGTATTCTTCTTCACCAAGACAGGAAATACTTAGTCTTGTAAGCACAAGCTTTTGTGCTATCTCTGCCTTTGCTAAAGAAGTACTTCACTCATATAATGATTAAACACATTTGAAAATTATTTTCAACCATGTAAGAGAAAAGAAGGACCTTTATTTCCCAATTGATTTTTTCAGAGATCAAAAAGTCCTAAGAATTTGATCATTTGGGAACTGAGAGTTGCACACAACATGACCAAGCACTGTCAGGGAGGATTCCCATGTTGTCATTACCATTTCTGATAAGCTATTAGGAATGCAGATTTATTGCTTAATGTTGCAGTTGCTGTCATAATCCTCTTCCAGAATACATGTGCCTTTTTTTAATTTGAAATTTGACATTCAGAAACCAAAACACAAAATGAAGTTTTCAGGTACCTTAGCCCTAAAAGTAAACTCACAAAGGTCATATATGAATGGTCATAAATTCCAGTGAGGAGGTAAACCACAGCCAAGTTGTTCAGACATCTCTGGCTCAAGGTCTAGTTTGACACAGCACAGCTATGATATCTTGACTTAGCATTTCATTTGAGAAAATGAGAAAAATGTTGGCCAGTTGTAAAAAAATACATGAGCAAAGTCCACGAAAGATAAGAAAAGTAAAACCACAGACAGAAGTGTAGTTGCAGAGATGGTTACCAGTCAGCAGCTTTAATGGAAAAACACTGGCATGAACAGAATCAGGGCCCTGAGTGCACCACCGGGTCCTAACTGCCCTGGCCAGTCTCACCCTGGGCCTCCACCCAAACTGGAGGTGCTCCTGCCTCCAAGCTCAGACCCCAGCCTTCACTCCTGGCCCAAGCCATGCCACAGGTGTGCCTGTCCCCAGCCCTATCTCCCAGACTGTACTGTGTCTGCAGTCCGAGGTGGGCTTTACACACACGCTATAGCCTTGTCTCCCATTTCCTACTGTTCCTGCCTGGACTTCCTGGATGGGTCCTGGAAGATCCCAGACAACTTTACTTGTCTGGGCCTGCTGCTGTCATTAGTATCTGGCTCTGCCCATGCTGTCTAGATGTTGAGAACCGTGTTAGTATTCTTATGTTTAATCTAGTAGCACACTGGTCCTAGACATCCTTGGTTATATTAGTGAGAAATTGCCATGCACTCATCTGCAGATCCTGCTTCCAGAGTCTCTTCTGAGTATAGTAAGAGATGTCTGAATCATTTAGCGAAAACTGCAGGGGATGCAGCCCCCTAAGCAATAACTGTAACAGTCAGAGGACTCGATAATCAAAGGAAATGATTTGGAAGAGTCTACAGTGGTATTAGAGACAAAATTCATCTGGAAACAGGCATTTTCTCCATTTCACAAAGGAAATCTGCAAACACAGTGAGCAGGTTAATTAATTAGTAAAGTTATCAGCACCACCTACCTACCACCAGAACAGGTGGCCTTGCAGGCTGCCATTCTCACTAGGGCAGTACCTCCCACTGGATTTCTCTTTCCCAACCTAGACAGTATTTTTAATATTCTCTGTCCCTGCAGCATCAAATTTGCTCAGGAAACAAGAGAGACTTCTGCTTGACTTTGTTAGCAACCACACAGAGCAAGATGAAGTCACAGCAGAAATTCAGTTTACCTAATGTAAAGAAAAAAACTCCTGAGAAAATTTTAAGACACATAATATAAACCCCCTTAAAATGCTCATTTACCTTGCTAAGAGCACACAGTCCACATTTTTGATCTTTCCCAAAATCAAAGCATCTGATGGCTGCAAAACAAGCAAATAAGAATGAGTCACAGCCTGACAATCATATTAGAAACCTTTACTACTACCCAAGTATAAGCACAACAGTTATGAAAGGAAGTACTAGCTACCACTGTGGTCTCACATTTTCTTAAGCTCAGCTCTGTAATTTGACATGGTAGATTAGTAAAACAGTCTGGTACAGGAAGATCAAATTTCAGACCAAAAGGATTATCACAATTTTCTGTGTTAATGTACTAACATTAACATTGCAACTCTTTAGGGTTTGAAACCATAATACTTTCAAACATATCAAAAGAGCATTTCAAACAGTGCTTAATAAAAAAGCAGCATGTACATGTTCCTGTTAGATTGATTAGCATGCCTCACTCGTTCCTGTAAACTTGGGTTGCTTTTTGCTAAACAAGTGCCACTCTCCACTAAAGTCCCCTCCCAACATAAATCACATTTAATCTGTCCCTTTCCATAACACTCGCCATTCTCTTCTCAGTCTTTCTACCAGGGGCCCCTATCTCAAAATAGGGGTGTGCAGAGTTCTGGATTCCTCCAACTCACCCCCAGCTTCCTGAAAAAAATCACTCTTCCCTGCTGCTGGAAGTCCTGCTTTTGGGAAGTGAACTGTGATATGACAGAGAAATTCTGGTACATCAGTGGCAGAGGCAGTGTTGTATTTGCTCAGCCCTGGGACTTCTCTCACAGCTACACAACAGGAAAATACATTCCTCCTAACTACCAACCAGCTAGGATGACAGAGCATTTTCATTTTAGCAGTCTAGCTGGCACATGTACCCTGCCTTGGAGACAGGACATACTGCCCACACCCGGCAGCTCCCAAGTCATCAACCACCATTACAATAAATTAACTGTGCTGTGGGCTGTATTCTCCTCCTGGGCATTAGGAATTAGAAATACAAAATATGTCTAGCTTCTCTTTTTGTTAAACAGCTACTAATAAAATTATGATTTATTTACTGATCACAAGTTTGCAAGTGCCTTGAAGGACTCACACATTTACATCTAGAAATGTCCTGTTGCAGGCTACTTGATAAAATACAAACAAAATTATAATGCTAGCTGCAAGATTTCAATCAGAACTTAGTTTTACAGCTGTCAATTCTATTACTCACTAGAAAATTTGCAGAGTTCTAGAATAAAGTGATATGTGAGTCCTATGTAGCTGCATTTTGAAGATACCAATTTCTAATAAAATCATCACCTTCTACTTCCTATTGCACAGATCTTTTTGGCAAATATTCACGTGAAAGCTCTTCAAAGCACCACCAACGCTTCAATTCTGTCAGACACATATTTACTACTTTTTTTTTTACGGGAATGTTCCAGAACATTTATTTTTAGAACTGCAGTGTATTTTCACTTCCTTTGCAAGTCTCCATTTAATATTAAACAATTGATATTTAAATGTTTAATCTTTACTGCACCTTACATATACTCTTCTGAAGCAAATATTCCTTTAAGAGTGAAATTTCAAACAGGGCAAAAGCCTTGTTGTCTAGTTGCTAGCTGTGATGTTACAACATTCCATAACAAGGAAGGTTCACAATAATTAGCAACCGGGGGTTTGTTTTGTTTACACACATTTGCTGTGTGAAGTAATAAGCACTTAGTTCACAGCAGGATACAAAAGTACTCCTATAAACTAAAGAGGACGTCCAGCAAAAGTCCTTGCCTCCTATTCAAATCAAAAGTAAAGATTAGTAAGTTGAAGACTGGACCCTTTGCTTTAGAAGTGACAGATTTAAATTTATTGTGGGTGGTAGATTTAAGTTTATATTCAAGGAAAACAAAAATCAAGGAACACTTGAGATGAAAAGTATCCAGAGGTTCCCCAAGCCTTCATTTAACCTGTGAGCTAGTTTACAAACCAAATTATGCACCTTGTTTTCAGGAGGCAGAAGAGGTGCGTAAGTGTTGCATTACATGGTCTGATTTTTCCTGATGCAAGCACACAAAGCTCAATTCAAGGCCAAATTCCCTCCTGCTTTGTTTGCCAGATACACCTATGACCAGAAAAAGAGGGGGAGCCCCTAGAATAATTTTCTAGAACAGGAAGATATTTTGCCCAACTGGGAAAAGGTGATTCAGAACCAAGATCTGTCATTCAGAAAGTAAAACAATCTAACTGAACTTATATTCTGAACAAAGCTCTGTAGTAGCTTCAAATTTCAATGATGAAGATAAAATTGCTCAGAACAGCATCTATTATCCTGTAGGAGAACAATATTTTCCATATGTGGAGATAGAATCCCCAATGGTTTCAGGGTGTTTTCAACAGAACACCAAATTTTTGATGCACTGAAAGCGGACAAAGGAGAAAGACAGTTGGAATACTAAGAGCTGTAAGCTTATTTATTTTTTTAAACTAATGTAGTGCATTTTCATTATCATTAATGTAACTTGAAAGATCATAGGAGGACCAATGTCAACACAGAGAACCACAAAAACTACCACACTAGTTTCCTGTAACCTTTTCCATATTTCACCTTAAAAAAATATCTCCACATTCCTTAATATTTAGTTTTGTTATCAAATGATTCTTATGATTTGAGAAGGCCAAGTAGAAGACAATTCAAGGACTCTATAGGAACAAAATGTAAGCTATATTCTTTCTAAAAGAAAAGAAACAGCATTAAAGACACATCACAAAGGTTTTCAGCCAAAAATCTCTTGGCTATGTTCTTGCCAAGAAACTTAAGAATTAAACTCCAAAATTTATATAAAGTAGAATTGTACAGTTTGCTTTTTTACATGATAGAAGGAAATGGACATACTTTTTTAACTATGCCTTGCATTTTCCTTTTGACATCCATTCACTTTCACTCTTCCTACTTTTGCTTGAACTAAATAGGCTGATGTTGCATCTCCATTTCTCTCAGAAAATAAAGACCAAAAAGTTCTGAAGTTTATTTAGATTAAGCCCTTTACCTCTTAAAATTTCAGGCAGATTCTCTCTCCACTGATGCCACAGCTCTATGACAAAGTATCTTTACAGCAGAAAAATCCCCATTTGGTTTTCTTTCAAGTAACAATCGAGAACAAGACACATCTTCAGAAAAAATACTAACAAACCACAAAGTTTTAAACTTTTCAAGGCACACAAAAAAAACTACAATTGCTCTCTTGCAATAGTTGCTCTTCTCAATTCTGTAGTTCTAAAATGAGAGGCAGGTTGTGTAACCCTCCTCCCTGAATACTAAAAAGTCTCAGCAGCAAAATAAGTGAATTTTGATCCACCTAATGATAACAGTTGAATTTGTGAGGTTTGTTTCTGCTTCAGCGGAAGTCCATCAACTTGACCCAGTTCAGTGCACTTTATGCGACTGTAACTCATTCACTAAGCTCTGCACATCTTACACTAAGGCTGATCCATCAGTTGCTCCATGAGGATGCAAACTGCATTGAACCACTGAAGTTGATGTGACCTTATAGAGGAGGGAATGTACATGAAACAAGCATCAGGTCAATGGCCTCATTTCTTAGAAGTTCAGATCTAAGAGAAGGAAGACAGGCCATCAGGGTTAAGGATAAAAATTTGCTGTTTGGCTGTGTTCTCTTTCACAGTCCATCCAGGTCAGCTTCACAGTCCCAGTTTAACTCACCCCACTTTCTGGAATTCATGCTTGGATTCTTACCATGACATCTCAGTTATACCCCCACCTCCCTTAGACAGAAAAAAACTTTAATGAGCTTTTAAGTTGAGCCTATGCTAAGTACATAATAGACAGGCTCAGACAAAGCCAGTCTATTGATCAAGGTTTCTCACAAACCACAACAGGTACCAAGATTTATTTTCACCTATTCATGTTGCATTCTGTGAAGAACACAAAAAAAAAGACACCAGCTAATCTGCTTGCTAAATGAAATTTAAAAGCCTTCCATATAGACTGAAGATACAAGACTGAGGAAGCTTTTTCTACTCCCTTGTACAGGACCTATCCTGCAAGTATTCCCACTCCTCTCAGTAACAGTAAATCCTCCTGCACTGCAGAATTTGTGTCACCCAAATCCTGTTGCATCTCAGTGCCATGACACAATAGACCTTCAAATGCTGTGCTGCCACTGTGCCCTTAAATCTGATCCGAACAGAACCCTCTGAGGGAGAATTGTTTAATCCTTCCTAGATAGTAAGGGTTCAGTTAATACCTGCTAAAAGCATAGTGTTACTTTTGCTTTGTCAGCAGTCTCCAAACACATCCGTGCTGTGAACATTCATGACTCTCAAAAACCAGGGAATGTACGGCAACTGGTTTGGTTTAGCCAGTGAATTCTCCTACAGAACAACGCTGGCTACGTTTGGAAAGTACAGTACAGAAAAACACAGAAGGCCAATTCCCTTCATTTTAATACAGTTTGTTGACTCATTTTGAAAGACGGTAGAAAAGTCAAATGTGTTTTTTCTGATTATGTTTTCCCCTCCCTTAATCTTGATCTCCTTCCCCTTCTTGAATGGTGTGCACACAAACTCCTCTTGCTTTTTACATTCTTACTCCCACCTTAAACCATTTTTGAGGGGAGGCACAGATTTAGATGTTCAATCACACACACACATCACCACTGAGCTTTCTGGTAAACTTTTACTCATAAAATAGCACTTGTTACCACATACCAGATGTTTTATTGTTATGTATACTAGCTTACCCTGCTAGATTTCATAAGATATAATTCCAATGGCAATAATAAAGCACCCAGACTCCCTATGTCTTATGACATTACAGAATATCTAAGATCCAATTCTTCTGTGAACTTCCTGTGTCAACTAGAACCTCTCTCACCCTTAATTTTCCTCATCCTTTGTCTTGCCTGTTTCTAGTGAAAATGCTTTGTGACAGGACCTATCCTTCACAATACCACCAATGCTGCATACAGAGCAACAGCCTCAGCCTCCACTTCCTTTTACTGAGAGAAGGGACTGAATCAATGTGAAGGAGAACTGTTCAAGAACATCTGTGTCACAAAAACAGTCTCAGAGCTTCATTTGCAAATTATGTGGTTATAAGCACGACCTTACATTAGCATGTAAAGCATAACTCAGTAGTTACAGGGAAAATGGTGGCCCATATACTTCAAACGACAGTTTTCTGCAATTTGAAAAGGTCCCTGGATGGATCTGACAGAATACAGGTCATATAACAGCATAAACTTGAAAGAGAGGGTTTATCTCTTGATTGCAAATTCAGGACTGAGTTTGTAAATTCATCCAATCTACAAATGAGAAGAGGTGTAGTCTCCTTTGTACATCATCTTTACAATACTTCATTTCTACAAATTAACAATTACACAATACATAGCAAATAAAAAGAACTTGTGCCGGGACCTCCCTTATATATTCATTTAACAGTTTGAAAATTCTTAAACCACACACACACGCATCTTGAAGAATGGCAGAAAGTTTCATAATAAATAAAAAGGTTATACAGACCTTGCCATAAGGAGTGTCAACATATTTTTCTGTTCTTCCTTCTAAGATATCCGGATCATCCAGGCCAGTTCCACCGATAATTCCGATCTTACACAGAAAGTACACATTAGTCTTCTTGCAATTTACATTTAATGGCATGCTGAAAAACTAACCAGCCAGCTACAAAATGTATTTTTTGCTCAAGATGGGACTAGACTACAGAACAACAAAACATAATACGCCCAACACAGCTTCCCAGAATGGAAATTTCAAATAACTGATTTCAAACAATTGTATTTAACTTGCCAATGCCTTACCCTATGATTTTCTCTTTGAAATACCAAATAAAAAAAAAGCTATGGAAAAGTGCACAAAGATGTGCCAACTCAAAATTTATTTCCAATATAAAAATGAAGAGTGTTATTTGGGAATGCCTCTGATGAGTGTGAAATGCATGTAGAAAGCATATTACAACAAAGGCTTCTTGTTTACATGGAGAAAAACAGTCTTATGCATAACCACCATACTGAATAGCAGGCTGTCGTGGTTTAACCCCAGCTGGAAATTGAGCAGCTGCTCACTCAAGCTCCTCCTCTCTCCCCCCTTACCAAGTGGAATGGGGAGGAGAATCAAAGTAAAACTTTTATGTTGAGATAAGAACAGTTTAATAATTGAAAATGAATAAAACACAGTAATAATGGTAAATTATAATAACAATGAAAACGAAAAGGGGAAAAAAAGTAATGCACAGCACAATTGCTCACCACCCCGACGCCAGACCTCCCCTTCCAAACCCCAGATCAGATCCCCTTCTGGGTAACTCTCTCAGTTTATATACTGGGCATGATGTTCTATTGTATGGAATATCCCTTTGGTCAGTTTGGATCACCTGTCCTGCCTATGCTCTCTCCCAGTTTCTTTTGTGCACCTCCTTCCTGGCAGAGCATGAGACAAGAAAAAAAAATTCCTTAACTCAGGATAAACATGACTTAGCAAAAAACTAAAACATCAGTGTGTAATGAACACTATTCTCACTCTAAATCAAAAACACAGCACTGTACCAGCTACTGAGAAGAAATTAACTCTACCCCAGGACACAGGCATTACTATATAGCATTGTACATCCAAAATAATGAAAACATTATTGAAAAAAAATTTGACTTGACAAAATCTAAGAAGTTCCCCAACTAAAATCCCCATTGTGTTTTGATACAATTTATAGTGAAAAAGCATGAAGTGACTCACAATTACTACCTATATGTCATCCTTTGGTAATCACCAATTTCTTGTTCTCACTCATCTGTTCTAGTTCTTTTGTAAAAAAGGAGAAAGAAAAAAAAAGGCTAAATTGGAACATATGTTGTTACTGAGACTAAATTTGCCTGCAATTTCATCTTCCAGCTAAAGAAAAATCCATCTGAATTTTCTTGTTTCTAGTTTACAATGGGAAAGTAACTTGTTTTTGTCACTCTTTAGACAATTCAATTTTCAATCAAGTCAGATTTTCTCTTGAGTTCAGAACACTTTTAGCTCTTTGGATGGAATGGGTACTGTCAAGCTTTTCACAACTGAAAGCTTAGTAATGGTATTCAAAAATGATGTCACTATCACCACCGAGAAAATGCTCTTTTTTTTTTCCTTCAATTTGTTGTTGCAAAGTTCGTATCACTTTCATATTGAAGAATTCATAACTGATTTGTTTATCATGGTAGGAAAAATTTGAACCGTTCTGACATAACTTGTTACCACAAAGACTGAAGACTTCCCAAGTAAAACCTCCAGATTTCAACATACAACACCCCCGCTTCCACAACACACACAGAACTGCCTCCTTCTGTGTTCATAGAGACCCCATTTGTTCAACCACTGTATTAGCTGGCTATCATGCATTTCTTTTCAACAAGCAGACGCTCTGTGGTCTTCAATACACACCCGATACTTCTCTAAGGAAGCTTTCCACACCAGATGCTGTAAACCCTGATACGATGAGGTAGTTTTAACCGATCTCCTACTTCCTTTTGCTACCCCCCTGTGGAGCACGAGGAGCAGTGCAAAGGAAAATAGCATTAAAACCTACGACTCCAATCCTGAACACACAGAAGTATTAGGGAAGACCTAGATCGTTGTTTGCAGTAGTATTGATGGTCTGTTCCCACGTTACTCGTGTTGCTTAGTTATCACGAACATTCAGACTGTTAGGTTTCTAGTGAAAATCCAGAAAACTATATACACTTTAGGATGAATAAAATACAGCCTTAAGAATTATGGAAGGTGTGCAACAGGAGCAATCATACAACACAAAATCAACAAAAGACCATATTTAACATTGTTCTTGCATGCATTCAGTAAACAGGGATGATTGCCACACTAACAGAAGATGTTACCAAAAAGGTGCTTGTTTTTTTCCTTTGGTTTTTTTTGTTTGTTTGATGGTTGGTTTTTTTTGTTTGGTTGGGTTTTTGTGTTTGTTTGGTGTTTTTTAAATCTAAGGAAAAAATAGTCCCTTCAGTAACCGAACTAATTTTAGCTTCCTATAACACTTGTTATGACTTAAGTATATTCAAAAGGGAATGCCTACCTTCCTGAACTTTTACATCTGGCAAAGTGAAAGCTGTTGGGACTGAGGAAAACAGTGCAATGCTGGAGATATCAGCTACAGATACATGATATAAAAGTTATTTTGGAACTGCAATGCTTTAAGGTCCTTATGAACACACAGATCCATCACTATAACAGACTGTCCCTGTACCAGAAAGCAGCACACCTGACCTGGGGCAGCATAGGCCTGGTGTGGTTGCTTTCAAATCTGCTCTCAGGCTTCCTACTCCTGCAGCTTCATCAATATGTGCTTGTGCTGCACTGTTCATTTCCTGAGAAGGCTTTAACACCAATGGCCATGCTGTCAGAAATGGCAGCAGTGCAATGAGCTTGCAAAATATTCACAGTTCCCAGGGTGGAGAACACAGAGCACAGAAGAAGAGCTGGACTATGTTGATTTTGCTCCTGCCTTCTTCCCCACTGCTAAACACCTCAGTGGCCGTCTGGTCAACCCTCAGGCCACCAAAGCAACATTGGCTAGAGAAATGCTGGGAAGACTTATAATTTGCTGGAGTGCTATTCCAGTGGAAGGCAAGTTAGACCAGCAGAGATTTTTGAAGCAGCTGCTTCTCCAACCATGTAATGTCAACTTGGAGCTGGCAGCTCTAACCCTAAATTTAAATTTATCTCTCTGACAATTATTTTTCCTCCAGTATATATAATCTCCAGAAATATTATCTGCATCTGGGAGCAAGGCAATCTGATTCTATATTAAATTCTGCTTTCCAAACCTTCTACTGAATTACCAAAAGGAATGTAGATGCTCTAGGCTCAGTGGGGGAGATACCCTCTGTTCTGGTTTGGACCAGGACAGGATTAATTTTTGCAGTAGTCAGGAGGGAGCATGGCCAGGACACAGAGGTTATTTTATACCACCTCACATCATTTTCTGGGAGAAGACCCTTCCCGAGGTAGTGCGAAGGTGCAGTGCTGAGCATTTGCATATGAATCTCTCGCCTCTCTGGTACACTTTCCTTACTAATATTGTTGCTGTTACTGTTTGTTTTCTTACCGCTGTTTCCAGTAAATTGTTCTTATCTCAACCCGTGATCTGATCTTTACCTTTTGTGCCTCCAATTCTCCTCTCCATCCTATCATAGAGGAGGAGGAGGGGCGAGTGAGCCAGCGGCATGGTTTGGAGTGGTTTCAATGGGAACACTAAATCGAAGAATATCATTCCTAAACCACGACATCCTGTCAAGGGAGCTGAGTTCTATTCCCACCGAGCCCAGGCACGGAAGGTATGGAATGGTAGAGAGAACTTCACCCGGGGAGAACCGTCTCACCTTTCCTCAAAAGCCAGAGACAGTCACATCTAGGAGTGACCTCAAGAATGGAAAGATTGTATGCTCCATTCCAGACACTGATTGCATCCTACAAAGGGATACAAAGGACATAACTTGTAAAAATTAATGGAGGCTGTATCTAAGGATATCTGGAATTAAATCTAAAGTAAAATGGTATTGTAGTAGAGTGAAACATGAATTATTTTAATATTGTCCACCTCCACATTGGGATGAAGAGCAGCAAAACTGAAACCTAACAAAAAGTTATCACACCAGTAACTAAAAAATCAAAAGCATTTCTCTGTGGGAGTCCAAGCAACAATCACACTGAAGCATATGCCATTCTTCACCTGGTGTTTGTTGAAATTCCCCAAGGAGGTTTAAGCACGAGCATAGAAGTATCAGTGCAGTAACAGCCTACACTTGTCCATCTGAGGGTCCTAAACATTGTCATGGTCACCTACGAGTCTCTGTGACAACTAACGACCAACGAATCCCTCTGTATTCCTCTCTTCTGTTTTGGGGATATGGCGAAGAGGGAGAGGATGGCATTACAAAGACTTTCGCTTAAAGAAGAAGAACATCAAACTGCATTAAGAGAATAAACCTGTAAACTGAAGACAACTTGGAACTGTTCTCTACACACCAAAACAATCGGGCGAGTTACTTCACCTCAGAAAAGGAATTTGTAGTTTACTAAAACGCAGTCCCGGGGTTTCAGCCTGCCCACAGGCCTGCTCAGCGCTGGTACCACCGCCGCTCTGAGCCGCTTTTCAGACGGGGCGGGCAGGTCTTAGCGGGGAACTTTCGCACCGCTCGCTCCTGCTGCAACTTCGGGCTCCGTGCACATCCACAGACACAGTGCACAGTTACGAACCCGGCACGGTCCCTCTCACTGACAAACCCGACACACCGCGGCCGGGTCGGATACCCGGAAATTTCAGCAAAGGCCTCCGGATTTCATTAAAAAAAAATTTTAAAAGATGGTCTCTCCCGAGACGGCCGCGGCAGCTCCCGAACGGCCCCGCCCGCGGGAGCGCTCGGCCGGGCACCGCCCGCCACCGCGGCCGCTCTCCCGCCCGGCACCGCCGGGCTGCCGCGCCCGCTCCCGGCGCGAAGGCGGGAAGGGCGGCCGGGAGCGGGGAAGGGAGGGAGGCAGCGCTTCCGGCCACGCGCTCGGCAGCGGAGGGAGGGTGGCGGCGGGGCCCGCGCCATCCCGCTCCCGGGGCGGGGGGCGGAGGCGACAGGCGGGGAGGGATTGCGGGCGGCGGCGGCCGCTGCCCCGCGGCGAGGCGGAGGCGCGCTTACCTTCACGGGCCCCGAGGCGGCAGCGGCGCTGGCGGCGGCCATGTTGGCGGGAGGGCGGGGCGGTGCCGCGGGCGGCGGGGCACGGCCCCCGGAGAGGGGGGAGGGCGCGCTTCCCGCCGCTGGGGGGCAGCACCCGCCCGCGCTGAGGGCCCGGCCCGCCCCGCCGGGACAGCGCCGGGACGCGGCCCCACTGATCCCCCACAGAGCTCCAGCCTCGGGAGCACTTTTGTTATTCAGTCAGTGAGAATGCTGCCGTGTTTAAGTACCTCTTGAATTCACGACCTGAGCACACGTCCTGCTCTCTTCCTAATCCTTCTGACCTGCACGTTTAGCTGTGACTCTCCGGGAGCATCCGCTGCTTGGGACGGGAGCGGTGCTGCGGTTGGCGTGATCGCAATGGTTAAAGGTGCAGGTATGTTCTCGAGATGCCAAGCATTGGCTCGGTCTCTCTGGAAACTTAACTTTCAGACGGTTCATATTTCGGTCAGACCTCCTTCCCGTGTTTCTGGAGACACAGCGGTTTACTTGACTCCCCGCCCCAAATTCATCAATTTGTCAACAGAAGTGGAATTGAGGGTGATCTTTTCAATACCCCAAAATGATTCTGAGAACAAACTGAAGCATGTTTGGGGGGGAAGGGGAAATCCTTTCTGAAGTACACATATATAAAAAGTATATATGTTTAGGTCTCCAAGCTAAATAGAGCTTCAAGTGATAGAATAATGTAAAAACTATTTTATTATAATTACAATTTTCCTACCTGTGGTATTTTTCTTAATTTAAGTGGAACATTTGTTTTGCCATAACACGATCCTGCATTTTGAGAAACATCAATATGTTTATGTATTTTGCTTCTATAGGTAGGTATAAATATCAGATGTAGAGCTTTCGAAAATAGCTGTTACCTTGTTAATTGGAAGTACGTAAAAGTGTTTCACATATTTTCTTTAAAGCAACATTATCTATTGGAGACACCTCGGGCACCCAGACATGCCATTCTCACATGCCCTCAGTGCTACCTGCCTGTTAAAGAAATGTCACATATCTGCTAGTAAATGAAGACTCAGACTCGTCACTGAACATATGTCCTAGATTTTAGCTGCTAAGATCTTGAGGCAGTTCTTTGTATACCGAGAGGAAAAGAATATTCCTGATGATCTGAGACGGTAGCAGCTAATGCTGAACTTGTGCTTCAACTGGAATGTGCTGTCTGTGCAGCTTTAAACACTTTATCCTCTTGTCTTCAGTGTTTGTTAGAGATCTTCATGCACTGCTGAGATGTTTGTCACCAGGGCTGAAGCCTTCTTGCTGCAGTTCAAAATGTAGATTGTACTGATGAGAAATATACTTTTGGAAAATTGTAGTTTAATAAAGGGAGAAAGAAGGATGTGAGTAAAGTTACATGTTAACTTCTTCAGTGTGAAATTACACTTTGTCAGGTGAAGTTACAGTTAAGTTCTTCAGTGTGTAGCCATAATACCACACTAAGTCTGAAACTTACAGTATTTTTCTCATTGTATTGAAGTTATATATTCTACTCTTAGTGTACAGAATCTCTTAGTGAATAATTCCTGGCAATTCCTTCTGTTTAATTCTACTACAATGTTCATCCATTGAATTGATTTCAAGAAGCTGTGTCAGTTGTGTTGCAGTACTCCTCTTTTACCACAACTATGTGCAATCTATTTGCTTTTTGAATATGAGAGCTCACTTTGTTTAAATAGTGTGGAAGTATTCACTATTTAAACTCTCAGAGACAATTGGTTCTTACTTCTGTTTAAAACATGCTGGCTGTTCCTACACAGGCTGTTCATGGGAGCTTGATACTGTAGCTGACCAGAGAGGAATCAGCTTTCCAACTTCACGTCTGTGGATTCTCTGTTACTTTGTGTGTTTTGTGGGAGTATTTCTCTGCATAAAGCTTTCCATATATCCACATTACATGTGAGCAGCAAGCAGGAATTGTTGGAATTGTTGTGGAATTGTTAATGACAGAAATAGTTCAAGAAAGGTTGAGATGGAAGCTAAAGGAGCTTCATTAGGTGGAGTTTCTGAAGATGGCTGATCTGAGCCCGTTTTGGTGCAGTCCTGACAATGGATGAATAGCCTAGGCTCGGAATCAGAAAAGGAGCTGAAAAACTACAGTCTTGCAGACAAACTAAGTACCTTTTCACATTTAATACCATGTGAGTTTCAATTTAGCAGTTTGCTAGAGGAAAAACCTGTATCAATATGAAATTTTGCACTTCTTCAAGTGAGCTGTTTATCAACAGTTAGTGAGTTCCCATTACTTATATCATTTTATAACCTGGATTAAGGCATACATGTATTTAAGTCTTCTGAATGATTTAACTAATCAATAACAGGTAAGAAATGGTGCTCTATGAAATTAACATTTTTAAATGTTTTCATTTCTATAGACCATATGCTTTTTTATTTCTCAGTTTTGAATATCTTAAAATTAAAATCCCGTGATGGGATTCAGAGGTGGAATCCAGTACAGTGACTGTTCATCAGTAAGATGTAATCTAGAATTTTTTAACACAGCATTTATTATTGTGAGAAGTCAGTTTTCTGCAGCAGCCATTTGGATTTGGAAGCAGGTAATCGAACACCACTCCAACAATACCATGATGCTCAGGAAAACATGATGAACTTACTCTCTTAAAAAGACACAGGTTAGAGAGTTCCTATAGAAGTTGCAGTTTCAGTTCACAATTCCATTTATGACTTTATAGAAAACCTTGAAATAAAGTGATAGCTTTGTATATTCCTAGAGGTTGAACTTTGTACTTCATGTTCTAAGTGATGGAATGTAAATCCATTTATCTGAATAAAAAACAGTAGTTTACTGACATTTCGCCTTTTCAAAAATAAAATAAATGCACAATTACTTGAAATCTCTTTGCTTTGATTTCTCAGGTTGTCTGTGTCTCATGGACAGTGTTTTCTTAAGTTAAAATAATATGTAAAAACTAAGTTTCATTTACACATTACACCATTCATAAAATACAAAAGAACCCTTAGATGAAAATAAGTAGTTTATATATCAGATGAAGGCCTTTTGAACTTAAATGTAAAGCCATTTTTTATGTCATTTTTTGTGAAAATTTTGATGAAAATCCACATGTAGTCAGTGCCTGAAAACCCTGTCCTTAGAAGTCTGGGAAGACCTGACAATTTAAGTTTTGTGCAACTATGTTAATAGTTTTGGTCATATGCCTCACAGAGCTTAAAAATCTTGGTCAAATAAACTGAAACATTCTTATTAGTGTAAGAAGCACTTTAATACACAAATAATATAACATTTAGTTAAATATAGAAAACAGTCAATTTATAAGAAGGTAATTCTTTACAGTGGAAACCAAAGTTGAGAGAAGATCTAGTATGGGCAGACAATTAGGACTTAGTGACCCTTGAGTTTTAATACCTCTTCTGACATCAAATACTTTTACACATTTAAGTAATTTAAACTCTGTCCGTCCTGTAAAGTCATAATCATGGTGATAATCAACCTTAACTGCGTTAAAGGAGTGTTTAGATTAGCTAGAATGTATTTGTGAAAATGCTTTGAAGATGAAAAGAACTGTTTCAAGGTAAAAGGTCCTACTTTTTTCTTTTATTACAAGAAAAGTTGCTGCAAAGAAATACCAGTGCTGTGTACACTGTAGCTGAGCTTTGAATTGCTTTTGCCAATGCTACTTCAAAGAAGCAATATTTGCATGAAAGAAGGGAAAATAAAGGCTCAGTCAAGTCCTGTTTATCTTCTACATTCATTCGTGCCAATCTCAGTGTCATGAGTTCCCATTATGCTGTACTGCTTGTAAACTTTCCTGTTTCTGCCCTACAAATTCACAGAATTTCTTTCAGTAGTGATGGAGTATTACAAACATCTTAAAAGAACAGTATCTTCCTTGTCCTTCTGTATCAGCCAAGACTTGACCCATATTTACTTCCAAAAGGAAGCCCATATTTAACCATATGCCCTTACTGTGAAACTAGCTTTCTCTTGAATATTCAATATTAATTTCATTTTTTCTCCTGCATACTGGAAACAATTTGTTGGGCCCTGTCCCCAGAGTAATGATTTAAGATTTCAATTGACTTCAAAAAAAAATTAGTGTGTGTTTTGTGTTAGGACAAATAATTTTCAAGCGTAAATAAGCTTCAAGGCTACTGTATGTAAGCACCCAAGGGTCACGTTCAGGAATAATTAAAAAACTAACTTTCCAATTTTTTATTATGATCCACTGCCTAGAGTTTATTGTTTCTACAGATCTCTCATGGAGCAGAGAGGTCTGTTAACCTTCAAAAGCATGTCAGCAAAAGGCTGATGGAAGAAGTTCAAAAAACCTTTATAACAGCTGAAGTGAAGTTGTCTGTCTTTACATTGACTCTTCTGTGGGACTGTAACATTTTACATTGGTCCATTCCTTTGCAAAATGAACAGGTTTTTTTCCCTAATTGGAAACAAGTGGAAGTATCTTGAAGGGACCATTTTAGAAAAACGAGCACCAGAAAATTCCTTCCCTAGCACGTTTTTTTTTCCGTCAGGGAGGAACCATCAAGAAGATGACCTCATCAGCTTCAAAACTATTACCTTGAGCACTTAATAATCTTAATGCAGTGAAGATTGCACAGTCCACAGACAGAGCAACTCCACCAATTTCAGGTGAAAGAAGGAGAATTTTTAAGCTTACAGATAA